CCAGGGACCGGCCTGGCCCGACCAGAGCCCGGGACAAGCCCCGCAGGCCCCATCTCCCGGCCGGGAGCCGCTGGGCCCAGCCCAGCCCCCGCCTGGGCCGCATGGCCTGGGCAGGGAACGGGAGGCCAGCCGGAGCTCTGTTACCTTTCACAGCCAGGAAACAAAGAGACAAAGAACTTCCCAGGCTTAGGTCTTAAGGTGGTGTTCACAGGTTGTTCTCACTTTTCAGTGGTTAAAACTGCTGTCAATTCTCAGAAATGGCCAGCTGTTGGCCGGGAGACCAACTCCCATCAGCCTCCAGCTGTTTTAACTTCCTTAGGTGTTTCTCTTTGTTTTCTTAAATGCCAATCTATTACAATGTACTACTGTAAAATAATGAAACTGATTCCTATTTATTTATTTGTTCATTATTTCCCTTAAAAATTAGTGAGGAATAGCAGAAATATTTTGAAGACTTCAGGAGATATACTATATAATTAATTGTTGACCCAGCTGATAGGTTATTTTAAGCAGGTAATGAGATACTTGTGTCATTACAAATTATCATACAGTATTTCTTGCTATAACAGATGAGGTATGTCCTTAGTGGCAGCATAGGGTGATCATTCAGACATTGTTGATACAGCTGCTATACATTACAACTGAACAGTTTAATAGATTACCAATTAACTCGAATGTCAATGCTTAAATATTCTTTACCAAAAAATGGTGGATGGGTTTGTTTTTTTTTTCCCTATTGAGGTATTGCTTTTAAAATAATGATACATGTAGACTAAAAAGGTTGTACTCTGAAGTAGTTAAAAAACTCTTATACCAAAGTTGTTAATCTGGCCCATTCATGACTGAAATTTATCAAATATATTAGGATGTGTTTTTGTAAGTAAAAATAAAAAAGAAGAAAATTTACTGGTTGCAATTTATTTTTGAGTAGATGGACCATCATATTCTAAACTGCTAGTCAGATATGATTCCCACTGCACCTTTCCCTGGCTGCAGTCTCTGACAGAAGGCTATAAATGTCAAGTGTTGGTAATTTTCTTCACTAGAGTTTAAGTCATAAATAAGGACAGTGTGGGGAACCTTATTGTCTCTGCTGGAGAAAGGACCTGATCTCATTGGCCATGTCGTGTCACCGTCTGCCACAGACTATATTTATGAAGACGCAAATTGGACAATGCAGTTGTTGAGATAAATATCTTGTGAACAGTATACACAGTAGAAGACCCATTTTTTGTAAAATAATAACAACAGTGACAAGGCTTACTTCACATACCTTAAAACTCATTTTAACTGTTAATATGTTGTTAACATACTATTAACATTGGTTCTTTTTGGTTGATAAACAATATGATAGAAAGCTGGGCATGAGCTCTGAGGCATCTTTTGATGCTGCATTGGCTAATTTAGAATTCTTAATTATCACTTCTTTAATAATCACTTAATTAATCACTTCTACCAGTGGGGCCTACATATATTCTGGTGACAAAACTGCTGCCTGTCTGCTTGTAAGGGGAAGTGGGACCCTTACCTGCCCTTCCAGAACCAAGGAGAGGTTTTGCAGAGACTCTATGGAAATCTATATATCCAATTTCTGAAAGCTGCAGCTGGTTACTGCCACCAACCTACTTGTAAGAGGAAAAGCTATTGACATGAGCACACTTGCTCTGAAATAACAAATTGTTTCTGTTAGTATAAGACATACAGTCAAGTTGCCCCTAATTGAATGTCAAATTAACCTCAGGCTGAATGCCATGAAAATAATAGAGACAGAAGAGGCATACCTGTTAGAATCAAGGGTGTGTAGTGTGCTTTTAAGAACACAGGAGTGTGAGACACAGTGGCTCTCAAAGGCTCAAGTTCTGTAACCTTTGGCAAAGAAACAATAAATACAGTTTGTTTCTCTGGCAGTGTACTTTGGCAATTGTGTAGCTCATAGAGCTTTTCTTTATAGAGCTGCTTCTTGGAAGGGTAGATAGGTCAATTATTATTTCACATTCCTGAGGTTTGATTAATGCTGATACTATGATTGGTTGTACGCAGGGCTGGCATGTGCAGTGGAGAGGCTGGGCAGCACAGTGGGTGAGAGGAGGGTGGCATTGGGAGCCCACCTGGGATTGCACTGGTGCCTGTTCTCAGCCTAGGGATTCCAAAGGTAAACCTGTCCTCCAGCAACCAACACTGGATGCTGGTGATGGCCAAAGTCATCAGACTGGGGTTCACATATGCTACCTCACTGCTTACAGCTTTCTTTCAATCATTTTATTTAATTTTTAATAATTTTTATTGAGTAAAAAAAGGTCTACAGCCTTACACTATCTCATAGTAATTATTTACATGGGCACAAGAAATGTGATTTAACAGTGGCTAGTATATATATATATATGTATATATATTATATATGTATATATATTATATATGTGTATATATTATATATATGTATATATTATATAAGTATATATATGTGTGTGTATTATATATAATATATAATATGTGTATATATTATATAAGATACAATATTATATATAATATATATGTGTGTATATATTATATAATATATATGTGTATATATGTATATGTATCTGTATGGGTATATGTGTATATATATTTATATACCACTTGCCAGTATCTTATCCATTTTCTTCTTGATCATGGATTAGTTATTTTTTCTCTAAAAAGATAGGAAAGGATAAGAAAAGAAGAATTTCTCTCTACAAATGCAGAAATATCAGTAGAACTTAAATATTTTGGGCCCAGTATGTGATGCCTGTGTACGAATTTTTATTTTTGTTGTGATTGTTCAGCATTCTCTAGGATTGTCTGTGTTCACTTTAGCCACCAATGTGTTTTGGTGCAGCTGTGAGGACTCACAGGCATTTTGAACTAAGCTCTGCAAGGGCACTTTTTCCTTTAAGCTGTAACATCTGCCCTGGAGAAACCTGAGCTAGCATCTGAGCTAGCTGACTATAGAAACTAGAAATATTTGCTTGGGAAGCATGAGGCATTCCCTTGGGGCAGATATGCACAGCCACTAAAAGGGAGAATTTCTTGTAAGAGAGATCTCAGAAAATTATTGCTGCTTGTGAAAAATCTGTGTTAAGGAGCTTGCCCAAATCACAGGAAGATGGTGAGATGAAGGCAAGAAGAATCAGAGCTGCATCCATCTGTCTTTGTCATTGGACACAGGTTTTCTTTCTGTGATCTTGTATCTCCTTTTCTACACATCTTTTTTTTCAGACAAAGCTTTATATACAGGAGTTTGATTTGCCTTGGTTTTTTCCCAGGAGCTTGGTCCACTCAGTGAAAATGATGATTTGGTTCACAAATGCCTTATGAGAAAAAGGAAATCATTGCATCATACTCTGATTAAAGATTTAATACCTTTTTATAATTATGAATTCATGGGAAGGCAGTGAGCATGTGATTGAGTTTGAAGTTCTTGAGTAGAATAAGCTTTAATTATCATAAATCCTTCTGCTACCCTCATTCTTCTTCCTTTCACCTCCACCATTTCTTAATTCTTTGCTGTGTTCTCCATCCAGTCATACAAGTCAAATTCCACTGCTGTGCACCAGCAGCATCACTGATTTCTGTTCTTAAGCCTTCACAATGCTGTTCGCATAGAAAGCCTGTTTTATATATATGTACACACACGAAAAGTTCTGCTTGCTTTGGTAGCTCTGAGATGGAATATGTCGGCAAACAGACTGGTGGAAACCACCTACACAATGCCAAAAAAATCTCTTCTGCAATTATGTAAATAAAATAAACCAGTCAGGACTTGGCCAAGTTTATGCAGGTTTTCTAGGCTGCCAAACTTGAAAACACTATCAAAAAGCACGGCTTTAATTAAATACTTATAAACATTTTCTTTATATGAAAGAATGCACATTTTCTGCTAATTTGTTTTTGGAAATGAGTAAAACTCTAAAGGGGGCTTATAAGAAAATCACTAGGCTGAGTAAATAATTCAGTGTAGGAAATTCCAGCTCCAACAAGTTCATTTTGATCAAGATGAAGGTAACTAAACTGAGTCTTATTGTTTGAGACCCAGATGCTGAAAGGCTACGCAACTGGCAATAGTGCCTTTGCACATTACAGGAACAAGACTATGTTGTCAGCCCATATCTCTCAAATTCTTCGTGTTTAATTTTCTAAGAAGACAATGCTTATGCAATCTGTGTTTGTTTTCATATTTCCATCCTCCACCACATTTCTTTTATTTCAAGGGGCCTAATTTCATTGTATAGTTCACTTTTGGAAGAGGCACATACAGGACCCTTCTTCAAGCCTCCCACCTAAAGCTGGGCTAACTTTGACATCACAGCAGACTGCTCCAAGTTTGGTTAATTTTTCAATACCTCTGAGGATGGAGCTTCCACAACTTCTGTAGGCAGCTTTCATCACAAATTAATTTTCTTGCAGATTATGTTGGGACTGCTTTTATAAAAAATACTAATATTAATGTCCAAAGAAATGATTCTGTGAACATGCTTTCATCTTTTGCTGTGTTTCTTTGAGGTCTTGCCATGAGTACAAAACCAATTGATTAAACAAAATTTGCTTGTTTCTCCAACCACAACACTTGCAAGATTTGAACATGAATCTAGGGGAAAAAATTATAAAGGAGAAGTGAAACCTTCCAATATATTTTATTGTGTCATTTATAGAAAGGTTATAAAAAGGGCAATGAGCTTGTCAGACAGTCACCATGATTGTCATGAAAAATCACAAAAACATATCTGTTGCTGACAATACACATTTTCCAAGGGAACCCCCTTTATCCTACAGCATTCAAAGATGAGGTTCAGTTATCTAAGTAAAATTAGTCTTTTCAAAAAGTCTGTCTTGTGTTTTCCATTAATTTAGAATACATACAGGGGACTCGGAGAAGTTGCTCACAAAATTTCAGAGGCTTCCTGCTTTGAATGATCTTAATGGATGGGCTGAAAGCCACTCAGAAATCTATTGTGGCTTTATAGTTACTTTTTTTTCCCCCCCAGATGTAGGTGCCAAAATGTAGTTTCCTGATCCAGATGCTGTGATTCTCTTCTGAGTAGTGGTCCAGCAGGCAGGATGCTGGGAACAGCATGGCCAACACAAAACTCTGCTGGAGCATTGAGCAGGCTGCAGAGTCAGGTAAGGATCACTTAAACAACATGACAATTTTTGAAATTTCAGCAAAGTTTTCAACGTTAATTTGCAACCCAACATGAAAAGTAGGTAATAGAGCAAATTTAATGCTTGAAAATATCTCCAGTATTTAAAATTAAATCCCTACACTCTATAATTTTTATATTGGTTTTTCCACTCTTTGTTATTCAGTTGTACAAGAATTACATGGTAAATAGGTCTGAGTTTTTTTCACATTCATATTTTTCAGTTGATTTGTGGCACAGCAAGTTCTAGCCAACTTTTCTGCTTGGACCTAATTCCTGTATCTGTCTGAATTTCACAACATGTGAAAACCAAAACCCCTGCTCTTCAATAGTGTTTAGTACACTCTTGAAATCCTTTAAAGGAAAAGGAAAAAAATCCTTTAAAGGAGGAAGTCCTTTAAAGTGTCTGGCCTCTGTAGCACTCTTCAGAGCTCCCCACACATCTCCTAGATGATTCAGTAGCAGTTGCATTTCCAGTAGGCAGTGTGGCTAGGTGATAATTTTATAACCCCAAAATCATTAGCATTTGTTGTCCCAAAACAGGTTGTGCAAGAGGCAAATCCACACGCAGAGCTGAGATATTTGACTTTTTTACAGTTCTGCCCAGAAATGGAGGCTGGATGGCACTTCCACAAAGCCAACACAATGACTATCAGAACTCTTCACTATTTATAAAATTTTATCAAACAAAGGCACTAATGTTCATTGGCTACAAGTCCCATAATTCTCTTATTCAAATTAATAATTTTATCGGTTGATGATTCTTATGTTAGTTAGTCCAGTGCTCAGTCTTTCTCATCTTTACTGCTGGCTTTCCAGTTGTTTTTCTGCAGAAGTCACAGAACCAATTAATCATCTCAAATTTGAGTTAATTATTGATTACCCAATATCTTTGCATGATTTCATACCAAGTTCCATAGTGATTGCATTAGTCTTAGCTTTTATTAAAAGCAAGAAAATATAGACCTCCTGATTTTGGAGAAAAATTTAAAACTCAAGTGTCACCAATGAAGGCTATGGAAAGTTGGAAGCAGGTAATGAGTCACTGTCTTGAGCATGACAGCTCTTCCACAATGATTGTCAATAGTACATGTAAATAACCTAAGGTTATTTACTCTTCTAAGGCTGTGAAAAAATCAAATGTGTGACAAGCAAATAAGTCTTTATTTACACTGAGCATTTCAAATACATTCAGCTAGTGTTTTGACTACAGGATCTCCTCAGCGGTTCTTAAAAGAATATAAAAAGCCATTACTCTTGTAGCAAGATGCAGACACAGGATTGTGTGACTATCAGAAAGCAAGTTTGTTTTGCCCTCCAGTCATACTAATGTTGCCTCTGTTATGACTTATCTATTTAAATGCCTTTATCCATCATGATAACTTAAAAGAAGTCTCAGATGTTCTGGGAGCAATTGCTTCCAAGGCCACTGAACAGTTTTAAGTACAACTGTACCACTACCCCTTTTAAAGGTATATGTAAGTTTTCTATTTTTGCTATTAATTTATCATCTTCTAAATTAATAATTTTATGCTGTTTCTTATATTTATACAGTGGGTGATGTAGCTATGAAGGTACGAACAAAAAGACAACATCCTTCTCAATAAGGCTTAGTATCTAAAAACAGGTGTAACATACAGCCAGGTATAACATATAGGTAACATCCATGTTGTGCCCCTTAAAAGAATGAAAGTACAGATAAATTGAAAATATAAATCATAGTAGAATAATCTACTGTTACAAAAAGCTGATGGATTCCAGCCTCTAAGAATAACGTATTAAAATAATATAAAATATATTGTTGTGCACTCTGTGATTGTTTTGTACAGATTTTTTTCTTTTAAATCTTTAATAGTCATTAAGGACTTGAACTATATGATGCTTTTCTAGATGAGCTATCTTTTCTCATGTTTTTAACAGAAATTATTTATACAGAATAGTATTAAAAATTACTGCACAAAAGCTAACTTAAGCACATTCTGATAATGTCAGAAGTTTGAGAACTCAAAGAGGTATCACTCTGCAGAACAGACAGGTAGCTACATTACCAGAAATTGAGGAATCAAGGTTCACAGTCAGTTTCCCAGAAATCGTATCAGCCTCCCATTACCAAAATGAATGAGTAACAGAATCTATGTCTGTTGGCCACTTTGTTATGAGTTGTTTTCATATGCCTGAAGAAAAGAGGCCACAAACAGAAAGTTAGAAAGTAGCTGGGCATTGGGAATTTGACAGGGAAGCAGTCAAAGTAGATATTAATCTATAGGCTCACAAATAACCCCTCAGCCAAGGCACTGAAGAAGCTCCTGTTCAGTGCAAGTTTGTGAGCTGGGATGCTCTTCTGTGGTTCTAGAAGGTCAATGTTAAGGAGACTGCTGAATGAAAGTTTTCCCCTGACATGATTCTTTAGTGTAAACAACTAAACTAATATAAAAATGAAAACAAAATTTTAAAAGAGTGAGGACATGTATGTTTCATCTGGTGTCTTCACTGATTCTAAGAGCCACTAGTGCAAGCAGGATTTTTCTCCTCCCTGTGTTCCAATGTCTTCAGTCCTCTGACATCCCTGGCCAAAGCTGGGATCAGACCTTTTGTTCAAAGCTGAATGAAGATGTGTTCTGTCTCCAAGGTTTCCAGATGGTAGTGAGAACAAGGGGAAAACCATGACACAACCATTCTGAAATTTATGAAAAATACTATTTTTGTGATTGTCGTCAAGGAGAAATGGATGTAATATTTCCTCTTCCCTAGCTCCCAGGTGGGGATAAAAAAAATAGTCTCTTCCACGAGTTATTCTACAGCCTCTTGAGATCCTCCTGCCTATGTATTTTGTCTGGTGACTAAATCACAGGCAGGGAAGTGGAGTGACATCATATCAGTGTCCAGTACAGATTTGTGAGTCACTGTTCTTTCACAGCATTCAATGGTAGTTACCCAAGAAAAAAAAGAATACTTTCCTGAATGAAGTTATTCTGGGAAAAGTTTATTCAAATTTTTTTTTTCTTTTTTTCTTTTTTTTGGGGGGGGGTTGTTTTTAGGTTTTTTTTTTTTTTTTCCTGGAGGAAACAGAGAAAAATGTCACCATGGCAACTTACTTTCAAATGAAAATGTCTTTAAGTGGCAGTGTATTAGCACATTTTTTTAAATTCAGAAAACCTCCCCCTCTAAATACAATCTAGAAGTTTCACTTCATCACAAGGCAGTTGATTCATTATGTCCTTTCATAGGGAATGTGGGATTTTGTTGGACTGACTACGATCACAATCCCCCAGTAATTTCTAACAGAGATCCTGGGGAGGTTAGACAGAAGTTGAGGGAGGAAAAGAACCTCACAGTGCCATTTGTATGTACTGATTTCAGTTAAACAGGATGGAAATAACAATTACTTTGATGAATTCTGTTTGTTATAAAAAAGTACAGTTTTTATTAAAAATATATTTGTCATGAAACTCTCTTCTGTGCTCTCAGACAGCTTCCAACTAAACTTATAAAGAAAAGGATGCTATAAGTGTAGCTGTTTCTCCTGCAACATGACACAATGGACCAGATGATCTATGTCTCACAATACCCTTTGCAAAGTAGAGTTGTTAACCTTTATGTCTTGGCTGAATTCTTGTGTGGTATTTTTCCCCTCTTGAATCCTAAGTATGTTTTTCTTCTCATTTCCTTGTCTCATATTCAAGCAAACTCTTCAGCAGAGAGCCTTGATTTGCATGATTTGTGCTCTTCTCTTCTCTGTCCTTAGTTGCTTTGCAATTTTTCTCATTTAACCAGTTGTTCGTGTTTCCCAGAAATCCCTAGCTATGTACAAGTAGACTGCTCCTGTGACTACCCATTTCTCACAGAAACAACACAGATAACTGCATGATTTTACTTTTTGCTTTATAACAATTACAGACAAACACAGTATTATTTAATGGCAACAGCTTTTTGCTTGCAGTTGTGTTCATTTTGTTTCATATACAAGAGAAGTTTCTCACCTCATTATCATGCTCCCCACAGTTAGAGGCTAACCCCATTTTTCTGTTCCCTTGCTTTATTCAGACTAGAAGGTTGTGCCATAATTTGCCTTATCTTAGACTCTTCAAGCATATTTTGGTGGACTCTCCTTCAAAGATACAACTCTGGGCTAATAAAGAGGCCTAATTTTAAAGTTTTTTGTAGTAAATGATATTAATTTCATTTTGCATTATAATACTAATGCAAAGGGGAGATGATACTATACCAATATTAAGGTCTGGAATCATATGAATCAGCTACAAAATTTCTCATTCTATTTGCTGATGATTTGCAGGTAAAGTTGCCCATTTAGCTTGAAAGGTATGCTGTGGCATTTTAAACTTAAGTTTCTGTCTTCATGCCCTTGTGACTGGGGCAGAGTTCATTTTCCTCCAAGTACCTGGTACAATGCTGTGTTTTGGAACTGACATGAGAACAATATTGATAACACTCAGGTTTTAGCTGTTGCTACGTAGAGTTTATGCTGATACATCAGGACATTTTATCCTAAGATTGACCATTTTTGCTACCAGTCTTTAAGACAGAAAATTCTCAAAATGCCAAATAAATTAAGACTAAATGTTTGTTTAATCTGCTGAAAACAACTGATCCAAGCAAGGTCAGGCATAATCCAAATTCAGTGGTGTCTTTTACTTACCCATTCTGCCCAGCATCTCCCCCTTCAGAGGCTCTTATGAACATGATGACAAAAGGCAATATTTAGATGTCCTGGAAGGTCCTTCCTCTTCTCTTTTGTATCCTTTTCCATCTTGAGAAAAGACTAAATGCAGTTATTACAAGAGATTAAGCTGTGATATGCAGTTGCAGACGTGTTATGAGACAAACAGCTCCCTCTGAATGTTGAAGAATCTTCTTTAGATGCATTATGTAGGTAGCACTGAAATTCCAAGTGCAAAGTATTTGGTTTAGTAGCCAATCTCTCAAGAACAATTCCACCATGTAAGCACAGAGGAGAAACTA